CTTTGGTTCTCTCGGTTCGCTCGGGCACTTCCAGGGCGGCCTGGATTCGCCGCTGGGGGATTGCGGTGCGCAGGAAGGCTTGGTGCCCATATAGCTTTGTCTTCGAGTGCGTCAGCGCTGGGGCGGGGCCGGCGCCCAGGTTCGGCGGTGCACCGCAAGCGCCGCGAGCGCGCCGTCGCTGGCCTGCCCTTCGAGGTGCGCCATGTCGCACGCCCCGCGCATGTGCAGAAAGCTATGTTGTGCCTTCCAGGGGATCTGCTTCGGGCGCTGAAGCGACGCGCGTCTGCCTCTTCATGCCGTTGCGCCGAGTTGCGCGCTCGGGCCCCCGCCCGAGGCGGCGCCCGCCATTCCGGCGGGGGAAGTCGAGGCAGCGGGGGGGGGGCGGCCCGGGCCAGGGCCGCGGCTTCGGGGAGAAAGGCGCGCATTGCGAAGACGAGGGCGAAGACGTCTTCGGCCTCGGAGGCGGCCTCGATCGGAGGCGGGCTCTTCAAGCCCGGGGCGGAGCCTGAGGAGAGAGGTGGCGGCGGCAGCGAGAGCGGCAGGTCGGACAGGGGCCCGGTCGCGGCAGAGGAGACCGATGGGGGCGCATGCGTCTGAGCTTCGAGCACTTGCTGAGGGCGCGCGAGGCATGTCGGCAGCGCGGCAGCGACCAGGGCGGCCCGCCAACCCGACCAGGCTGGACAAGGCCAGGCGCAGGCTGGCTGACCGCATTCTGCGCGGCGCCCACCCTCAGCAGAGCAAGGGCCTAATGAGCGCGCGAGGGTGATTGCGCCCGGATAATATGTTGGCCCAGCGCGCAGTGCTCGCGTGCCCATTTGTTACGTGCGATAATCTGGACGGGCGTTTCGGGTCGTAGCTGGCGATTGGCGTGCGCGCCCGCTGCGGGAGTGGCATCCGCAGCGACGCCAGCCCGGCCCGCGGCTGAGGGCCTTCCGTCGAGGGGTAGCTGATCATGGGCGCGTGGCAAGTTGGCAACGAAGCGGCGCAATACATGCGGCGCAAGTGACGTTTGCGAACGAGTCGACAAATTCCACGCTCTTGCGGACGTCCCACCCACCCGCCGGAAACTTGGTTTGCAAAGCCCATGCGGCGGCGATTGCGGCGAGTGCTTGGCGTTGGCTGGCGCATCTACGCGGCCGCGCAGGCCCGCGCGAGCGCGCGCAGCGACCGACTAGTTTGGCGCGACCGACGCGGCCGCGGTGGCAGACGTCGACAACGGCAGACGCGCGACGACGATGACGACGCCGACGACATGGCAAACGAGGGCGCCGATGCTGATCACGCCGATGACGACGATGGCGTCGACGCGTTGGCGGCGAAGGATTTGGAAGGATCTCAACGTGCGCGCGCGGCCGACGGGCGCGACAGGCCCGCGCGGCATCTTTTGCCGGGGTTCGCCCCCCCCCCCCCCCCGCCCCGCCCCGGCGCGCGCGCGGGCGCCCGAATGATTTCGACATCCGCGCGAGAAGCCGGGCTGGTCGATGTTGATGAACATCTTGTCAACCTTTTGGTTTCCGAACGAATTCGCGAGAGCGCGCGCAGACTATCTCCGGGGCAGCTGTTGTTGCGAAGCCATGTGCTCCACATGTTGGCGGGGCACTTGGAATCCCCGCGCGCGCGACGGCCCGCGCGCGCGACGGCCCGCGCGCGCGCTGCGTCCGATTGTTTGCAAGGGGCTCTGGGAAATTATGAATTCAATGCTTGATAATTCACCGAGTGCGCGCGCGCAGTTCCCAGCCATCCTGCGGTGTTGGGCCCTCGTTTTGAGATAGCGGCCCCCGCGTTCTCCGCCTCCTCCTCCTCCCCCCCTGCCCCCGCCTCCATCGCCATCATCGTCGTCGCCCCTTTCAGCGCACCCCTCACGCGTTTCGTGGCCCCATAGGGAGTCCCGCCGAATATCCCAGCGCTACCGTCCGCATGCGTCCCGCGCCCGCAGCGCAGCGTTTCGTGGCCCCATAGGGGGCCCCACCGAAGGTCCCAGTGCTACCGTCCGCATGCTCCCCGCGCACCCAGCACAGCGCTTCGTGGCCCCATTGGGGGCCCCGCCAACGGCCCCAGTGGGGCCGTCCGCATGCGTCCCGCACGCCCAGTACAGCGCTTCGTGGCCACATAGGGAGCTGCGCCGAAGCCCCCAGTGGGACTGTCCGCGTGCGTCCCGGAAGCCCAATTTGGCAAAACAATCACTCGGTACAGCGTTTCGTGGCCCTATAGGGAGCTCCACCGAATCCCCCAGCAGGACCGTCCGCATGCGCCGCGGAACCCCAATTTGGCATTTTCACCAACCCGATACAGCGTTTGGACTATCCGCGTGTGTCCTTGAAGCCCAATTTGAAAATTTTCACTAACCCAGTACAGCGCGCCGTGGCCCCATAGAGAGCTCCATCGAACCCCCCAGTGGGACTGTCCGCGTGCGCCCCGGAAACCCAATTTGCAATTTTTAATCACATGGTACAGCGTTTCGTGGCCCCATAGGGAGTTCCACCGACGCCCCCAGTAGGACTGTCCGCGCGTGTCTCGGAAACCCAATTTGGCATTTTCACTCACCCAGAACAGCGCTTCGTGGCCCCATAGGGAACTCCGCCGAGGCCCCCAGAGGGGCCGTCCGCTTGCGTCGCGGAAACTCAATTTGGCATTTTCACTCACCCAGTACAACGTTTCGTGGCCCCATAGGGAGCTCCAGCGAAGCCCCACATGCGACCGTCGGCATGCGCCCCGAAAGCCAAATTTTGCATCTTCACCCACCCAGTACAGCGCTTCGTGGCCTCGTAGGGAGCTCCGCCGAATTTCCCGGCAGGACCGCCCGCATGCGTCCCGTAAACCCAGTTTGGCATTTTCACTAACCCAGTACAGCGTGTCGTGGCCCCATAGGGAGCTCCACCGAAGCTCCCAGTGAGACCGCCCCCATGCGCCCCACACGCCCCATTTGTTTTTTTTCACCCACCCAGTACAACGTTTCGTGGCACCACAGTTAGGTCCACCGACGGCCCTAGTGCTACCGCACGCATGCGCCCCCCCCTCCCAGTGCAGCGCTTCGTGGCCCCATAGGGAGCTTCACCGAGGACGATATTTCAAAATTGCGGCACCCACAACTGCATATGGTTGGGTCTTTCGTCAGGATAAGTGTTGTTTTATTGTTCAGAGGATGAAGTGGGTCGATGCTGGCCAGGCTGGGGTGGTGGGATTCATGTTCAGAAGGAACGATGGGGCAACATCGTATGTAAACTGTGCATCCCCCGGGCGGGGAAATATTCTTAGGTAAAAGGTACACCGGGGTTCTTTTTTCCATTCGGAGAATCTACGGTGTGGAATTCATGTCTGTTCGCAGTGAGTTGCCAACTCCACTGCTCGCGCAACCATCCCACCCACCCACCCGCAATTTGGCATGCAAGACCCATGCAACGGCGATTGCGATGAGTGCTTGGCGTTGGCGGCTGCATCTTTGCAGCCGCGCTAGCCCGCGCATTCTCGCGCGCGCAGCGGCCAGCTAGTTCGGCGCTAGCGACGCGGCCGCGGTGGCAGACGTCGATCACGGCAGACGCGTGAGGACGATGACGATGTCGACGACAATTTCAATGGGCATTTCAGTGCGAGTCGGCGGCTTAGGCGGGCGCGGTATCATGGCAACGTCAACAGCGGTTGACGCGATGATGATGGGAGCGATGATGGCGACAATGATGTCAACGACGACGGTAAGGCCAGTGACGGCGCCAATGCTGATCACGCCGACGCTGATGACGGCGTCCTCGCGTCGGCGATGAAGGTTTTGGGAGAAGTTCGACACGCGCGCGGCCGACGCGCGAGAGTGGCCCGCATGGTACAACTTAACGCGGATCGTGCCGCCCCCCCCTCCCCCCCGCAGCACGCGCGCAAGGGCATTCGAATTGCGGCGCGGGAGGCCCGTTTGGCTGAATTGAATGAACACGTCGGACAATTTATGGTCACCTTACCGAGTCGCAAGAGCGCGAGCACAGGCATCTTTGAAAACGGGCGTTGCCAACACATGTGTTTTATAGGTGTTCGCAGCACTCGGTTCTGAACTTGTGAACCCTGGCCTTTCTTGGCGGGTTTCCGCACGCGCGCGCACCATGACGGTCGCGTGCGCATTTCGCCCCACCCGTTGCAAACATATCCTTGCGACAGCCCGCGCGCAAAAAAGGCGTCCGAGCGATGTCGGCACGCGCGGGCGATAGGCACGATGGGCAGCACGCTTTGAACAGTTTGGACCACCTATTGCGTTCGTAAGAGCGTGCGAAAACGCGCTGTGTGTTCGCAGATCTGTTTAGGGGGAGCCATGCGTTTGTTACTTCTGTTATAACCCTTTGATTCTGAAATCCTGCGGAACCGAAGCTGGCTGCAGGAGTTTGGCGTGCGCGCGCGACGAGGTGCGCGTGCGCATTTTTCCTGTTGTTTGCGATGGATTTCTGGAACTTGCTGATTTTTGAGTAACGATTGTGCGGCCATAGTTTTTTCCAGGGAATGAGGGGGTGTCGATGCCGGCTTGGCTGCGATGGTTGGAGCGCATAGTTAAGATGAGCGGTGGGGCAGAGTAAACATGAACAACGTTACGCGAGACGTGGTGTGGTTAAGTCCGGGATGGAAGGGGGGGAGAGTCTATGTTTTAAGGGCTCCCTCGAGGGCGCGAAGTTATTCGCGCTTCGCGCTTCGCGGTCCTCGATCCTTCTCCCCCTCCTCCTCGTCCTCCTCTTCTCCCTTTGGGGGGGCGGCGCGAGAGCGCGAAGTTATTCGCGCTTCGCGCAGCGCGAAGCGCGAAGTTGGGAGCCCTTGATGTTTCTCGTGGGCAGGAGAATCGGCTTGATGCAATCTAGCAGTGCCAAGCAACGCGAAGCTCTGCGAAGCAGTGCAAAACGGGCGACTCTGAGAGGCGGCGAGCGGCGACGAGTCGGCGACGGGGCGGCGACGGCGACGACAGGGCCGCCAAACCGATGTTTAGGCCAGGCGACCAGGCGGCGACGAGGCGGCGACGTGGCGGCGACGGCGAGCACGGAATCGTCAGACCGACATTCAGGCCAAGACGACGGGCGGCGACTGCGAACACGGAGCTGCCAGATCGGTCGACAGTCTGGGCCAGTTCCGTCGACGAAAGTAGAACCCCTATCTGCAAGCACTGTTTGGGGACACAGTTGTATACAAGCATGCGGACATCTATAACATACATATCGTATCATGGGTTGCGTGCGGACATCCGTAAAATTTTGCTTGTGAGAACTGCGTCCCCTCTCGAGGCAAAAATGCTACACGGTGGGACTTTCAGTGTCCAATACACCGATGTGAGCGACAGCAGTTCAGATGACGAGATCGTGCCAGTGAGCCGTGTCTATCCTGACGTCAGCGCAGAGGCAGAGAAACGCAAGTGTGGGCCGGGCTGCTGCAAAGGCTGGTGCGGAATCGGTGGCCTCAACGAGAAGTTTCAGAGAAAGGCCATAGTGATCGACTCGGTGCGTTCTCTGTGTTTTCTGGAGGTGCCGTTCTTCCTGTGGCGGTTGTACCCGAGAGGCCTGTGCCAATGCCGCCGACGCCCGAGAGGTACATGGCGGCGGACGTCATCACGGCCGCACAGGCTGACCGAGAGTGGGCGAAACGCAAAAGGGCGACGAAGCGCGGCACGATGCCGACGAGTGACAGGCAGGGGGGAGGGGGAGAGCGGGAAGGAGGTCTGCAAGGTTTCGGATGTTCCAACCTGAATAAGCCTTGAGAAACAGCAAGAGTTTCGAGCACCAGGAAAGTGCCGAAACTGGAGGGTTTTCACGTGTCGGGCCGTAAGAAGCGGTACTCGTTCGACACCTCGCTAGTGTGTCGGGCAGACACTGTTTCGAGTCTTTGCTGGGTGCTCGAAAGTATGTCTAGGATGCGGCCCTCAAATACGATGGGAGTAGCATAGTGCGAGTTATGAGGCATGTCCTCAGTGTTGGGCCCTCTGTTGGGGCGGCATGGATGCATCGTTTTCGGCTGTTTGTGATGCCTTGGATCGCCCTGGAGGGCTTCAAGAACCAGAGGGACAATGTGGAGGCGAAGGAGGAGAGAGGACACGAGGAAGTGGATGGAGTAGGGTTAAGTCGGGCCCGTCACTCTACAGGAGGAATACTCAACAATAGTCAAAATAGTCTGGGGACTATTTTCTTTTTTATATAGATACACCCTTTTGTCGTATTTTTTGTGTATGTTCTATTTGTCGTCGAAAATCCCCCTGTAGGGGGACAGGCCCGACTTAAGAGTAGGGGGAAGAGAACTGCCGTAGCTGGTGCAGTGGAGGCGAGGAGCGGTGGGATCTTGGGCCTCGAACGGCCCATCCTTTTTTTATCGCATGTTCATCAGGAAGGGAAAAACACACAGACACAATGAATCGTCGATCCCCAGGAGAATATGGGAAAGCATGGGAAGTGGGGGGGGAAGACAAAAACCCCGAACAGATTGGAAACTATGGGGCATCCTGTTACTTGTGTGTATTTATTTGTGTGTCCCAGGGCCCCTTGAGTTCAGCAGTGTCAAAGGCAGGAGACGGCAAGAACTTGTTGGTCTGTTGCCCATCTCGCCACCATGCTTGGGTCCTGGACGAGATGCTTACTAGATGCCTCTGAAGGCTTCTCGGGCGAGTCTTCGGGCCCTCGTCTGGGCGTCTTGGAGGCCACTGGGGTCCTCTTGTGGACTTTTTGGGGGCCTGCTGGCGGTCTGGGGGATCATCTCTGGGCGGGGCGCTCCGCATGTCAGGTTGCTCTGCCCCTCCTGTGGCAGTTCTGGGCCCCTCGTGGGGGCCGACGGGGCCGTCTCCGATTCAGTAAAGGCCAGAAGACGCCGATGCCCAAATCCCCCACACACGCAGTCTCTCTTTTTGTTTTTCGGACGTCCAGGCCAGGCGCTTCTCGGATGCACGCTGCGTGGTGTTCGTGGGTCATCGTCGCTGATGGTGCAGGACAGAAAGAAGCGGCAGAGACAACTCTGGACGGCGTGGCGTTGCGCCCGCCCGCAGGCGACTGGAGAGAAAGAGAGAGTGCGTGCGTGGGGGATCTTAGCACAGGCGTCCCCTGAGATCCTGGCGCTGCCAGGACCCCAGGACCGACACCGTCAACGTCCTCGACACCAAACCCGACGATCGCTCCATCTTCTGGTACTGGGAAGACAATGGGTGCGCTGGAAAAAACACTTTCCAAAAGTGGGCATTCCAGAAGTACGAGCATGTCGTTATCTTGTGGGGTTATTCTGAGATCCTGGCGCTGCCATCTCTTCGAGCCGGGCGGTCCTGTTCGGCTTTGGGCCCCAGCAGGACCTGCGCAGATCGATCCGGCGCTCGAGAATTGCCGCAGAGACATATAGGATCTGGGGCTCCCAGGTGGGGACAATGGTAAGGTAATTCTTAACCGTGGGGAAATAAATGTTAACCGTGGGGAAAAAGCAATACGTAAAAACAATAAGTAAAACCAATACGTAAAAACAATACTGTGAAACAACGCGTAAAAAAACGTAAAACAATACGTAACAATCAATACGTAAAACAACACGTAACAACACGTACGGGCAGCACGTACATCAATACGTAAATGCAACGAGGGTTTGAATTAACCGTGAGAAAGACAATACGTAAAACAATACGCAAAACAACATGTAAAGCATACAAACACGTTGAGCCAACACATCAAAGCATCACGTAAGAGCACTACGGAAAACAACACGTAGACAACATAACACGTAAAAGCACGTAATCACACCGCGAAGTACACGTAACATTGCGTTTAACACCCTGACCGCCCTGAGCGTTTGGCCCTCCCTCGCTCCCCCAAGGCCCGACGCTGCAGATACATGGCAGCATCCCTCCCTCCCTCCCCTCCCCTCCCCTCCCTTCCCCTCCCCTCCATCCCTCCCTCCCTCGGGACGCCCTCCCTCCCTCCCTCCCCTCCCCTCCCTCCCTCCCCCCCTGCAGAAACATGGCAGCATCTGAGTATCGCTTAACCGATCCTAACAGATCCCCATCTCCAGCGGCGTGGCCCCCGTTCGCCCATCTCCAACGGTGCCCCAGGTGGCAGACCTCCAAAAAGTTCAGGCTGGACTGCTGGCCTAGGTTCCAGGATTACGCTTCTCGCGACGCGCACGTGGCAACCAAAACGCACCTCTGCGGCGCCGCACTCCAGTGGTCTGTGGAACGCTTTTGCGATGGCAGCGTCCTTCATCTGTGGTAGATGCACGAACCTGTCGATTGAACTTCTTGGCAAAGTCGAAACGAGGCCGCACGCACGAGAAACACTATTGATAACACTCAGCAGTTCCACGATCGACGCACTGCAACCACGTTAGAAAACGCGCACAACCAGCCAACGATTATCCCAGTGCGACCCTACCTAGGAGTTGGAGCATCTAGGAAAGCAAGATCGGGGTGCCGGCCCGGCGTGCGGCGCAGGTGATTCGCACGCTGCTTCTCGACGACCCGTAAGAAACCCTTCCAGCTTCTGCCGAGGAACCTCCGCCTCCACCACGGAACCTCGAGCCATCCCAGGAACGTCCGGCAGAACTTCGGCCAAGTTGCCGAACAGGAAGTCTTTGCGGATCTTCTCGAGCACCTCCTGCAACGCTGCTTCGGCGGAAGCGTCGTTGCCGAAGATTGCATTGATGCTGGGCGTATCGGGCCCGAGTCCCACGTTGGAGGAGGCGGCAGGCTGTGCAGCGCTGCGCGGCGGGGTGCGTGGCGCTGCGCGGCGAGCTCCGTGGCGTGTCAACTCGGTCGTGTTGGCAGGCGGTGCAGAGACGGTGGGTTGTGCAGCACCACCTGGTTCTAGGCCTCCTAGATGGGGTCGGAGTAGATGGGGTCGGAGGATCGCTCCGCATCTCCGATGCGGTTCGATGCGGAGCCCGATTTGCTTCACGTCGACGTCGCCGATGCATTGCCCACGTCGACGGTGCATCGCCTGTGCATCGCCGATGCATCGCCGATGTATCGCCGATGCGGCGCAATCCTCCGACCCCATCTATTCCGACCCCATCTAGGAGGCCTCTACTGGTGGCGAAGCGGGCTGGCACAGGGGGTTTCTTCGAGTGGCGCCCCTTCAAAGTGCACTAGGAATTCCACTCATTGGTCGTGTTGGCGTCGATCCTCTGGTCGGTCAGGAATTTCCGTGCCTGGCAGCTTGAGGCGACGCAGGGAGTCGTAGTCGAACCAGTCTCTTGAAAGCGATAGGATGCTTACTGCTGCGCGCAATTCTTCAAACCGAGAAGCAGGCAACGCGAAGATGACGTCACTCATGTCCTTGCGCTGGGTCTGATAGAACGGAACCACAAGGTTTGGCCTCATCCACTCTGCGTCGACGCTGGGCAGGAGTTCTGCATCAAACCGTGTGAAGAGCACGTGGGAATAGCGATCCAAGTCGTACGCACTCTCGAGAACGTCCATAGCCGATATGACCGTCTGAGTCTGACAACTACCCTTGGCCGAGAAGTGGAAGGCGACCGGAGCGGTCAGTGCATCACTCGCCATATCTACCAAGGTTCTCCCGGTCATCCTGCCATCGGAGAGATCTGCCACTAAGGCGATATCGATGCGAGGCTCAGTCAGGGTGTTCACTAGCATGGTTTTGCCGGAGTTACAGACGTCCTCAAGATCTTCCAATGCCATGTCTTTGTCACAGCGACTGTCTTCTAAATATGACCTGGATGACGCAGAGCGTAGACCTTCGCCTCGGTAGACAACTAGGACACGCTTCATATCCTGTTCACGCGAGCGCCGCTTCCCTGTGCGGGAAGGTGGGCTGTGCAGCACCACCGAGACATCCCCGCTGGCGCTGCATCGCCCTGCTCGGAGTGTGGGCTGTTCAGCCCCGCCGCTCTTGCGGCGCCTGGCCTCAACTCGGCGAGGCTCGTCAGCATGATCGTCGTCGTCGTCGTCGTCGTCGTCGTCGCCGCGACGATGGCGCAGACGGCCGCGACTGCGGCTAGGCTCGCGGCGACCACCGCTTTGACACAGATCGATCACGTCCGCCGCTGTCAGGGGCCTGCCTCCGCGCGACGCGAGGTGGGGCATCGCCGGCGGCCCGAGCTTCACCAACTCATCCCAGGTGTCCAGTGGCTCCAGCTGGTAGTATTCGGCAACCTGGAACCACGAGTCGAACCTCTCCAGCCAGTCGTCGTCTTCATCACGCCACCACCTGCTGTGCACAGGGCGGAGGCGCATGTACTGGATGACGCGGCCCTTGCTCCGCCTGCTCGGTCGTTCAAGACACTCCACAAGCACTCGAGATCGTTGTCGATCATGTGGGTCAGCTGCAAGTCCCGAGAAGCAAGAAGCAACACCCTTACCATCCCGCCCGCTCTTCTCACACGTCAAATGGATGTTCGCCTCAGGCACCCCCATCTCGAGCAAGCCTGTGCTCCGGATCAGCCTGATGGCCCACGCCTCTACCCTCCCCAGGCGGGCATGGTGCGAGTGCCACGTGCCCCGCGTCATGCGACTGCTGAAATGCATGTCCTGAAGGCCGAACTCAGCCGCAAAGAGCACTACGAACGCCCAGAAGCCCTCCTCGACAGCCGTGTACATCTCGCTGCCTTCAACCCGCTGATCGTCGTTCCGCTCGGACGCGACGTCGCCCACATCGATGGCCACAACAGGCGGGGTGGGCTGCGCAGCACCACCTGGTGCCGAGGCGGGCTGTGCAGCACCGCTGACAGCCTCGCTCCGCCAACCTCGGGCCATGAGCGTGAGCGGCTGTGTGGCAGGGCCTCCGGGCTTGAGCCGAAATGGCTACGGAAGGCACTGCTTGCGGGGGCTCCGGTCCGGCCATCGAGGCTAGCTCGGCATCTGTCGCACATTGTTTTTGCTTTGCCTTTCCTTTGCTTTGTTTTTGCTTTTGCTTTACTTTGCTTTGCGTTGCTTGTGCTTTGGTTTGCTGTTGCTGCTGTTGCTTTGCCTTTGCTTTGCAGCTATGTTACGCTATGCTATGTTATAATATGCTGCGCTATGCTATGCTACGCTCCGCTGCGCTATGTTATGCTAGGCTATGGTATGATATACGATGCTGCGCTATGCTATGCTGTGCTATGCTGCGCTATGCTATGATTTGACATGATATGCTATGTTATGCTGCGCTGTGCTATGCTATGCTGGGCTATGCTATGATATGCTAAACTAAGCTAAGCTAAGCTACAGCTACGCGAAGCTAAGACGAAGCTGAGCTGAGCTAAGCTACGCTAAACTACGCTAAGCTAAGCACCGATGAGATACGCAAAGCTAAGGTTAGGGGGCGCAACTGGGGGAACCGCGGGGCGGGGACCGGGGGAACCGCCCGGGGCGTGGACCTCTGCCCGGCCCCTTTAAGCTAACAGAGTAAGAACCCTCTAGGCAGAGCCTAGGTAGGGAAATATGCAACTGCCCCCGCCTCTCTGTTTGGACGATCTTCTGCCTGGCCGTGTCTTCGTCCGCAACGTCGGTGATGGTCAGCATGGATGGCTCGATGGTCGCGCGTTCGTGGTTGACGATTTTGGCTGCTGACTTCGCCCGTGCTCTCAAAGGTGTCTCGTCGCCCCGGGTGGCCTCCACGTGCGCCACCGCCTGGCCCCCGTTCGCGATGATAGTATTGGTGAGGTCTCTGGCGACCTTCTCAGTCCGCACCCGCTGGATGACGATGGGGCAAGTCGCGAACAATTCCGACAATGGTATAACGCGATGCCGATATGTGCCTGCCTCTTTGGCGCGAGCTTTGTCTGATGTGTGTGATCCATTGAGCCGATCCGTGAAGACCTGAACTCCAGATTGTCGTACTCGGCGTTGTGGCATGTCTGGCAGCTTCGACGATCGGCCAAGAAACGCGCAGGACCGCTCTGATTCCTGCAAACGACGTGGTTCCACACCAGGCGTCCACGCAATGATCTCGAGCTGTGGATCGGCATCGGGGTCGGCATTCGGCGGAGGGTCGACATCTTGACCGACGTCTGTTGCGCCATGTGGCGCATCGTCTGGACCGACATCTTGACCGACGTCTGGAGCAGCAGCATGTGGATCGACATCTTGTGGATCGACATCTTGAGCGACTTTTGGAGCAGCAGCATCTACATCGACATCTTGACCGACGTGTGTGTCTGGGTCCACATGTTGATCGACGTCGTGATCGCCGTCTTCTGGATCCGCAGACGTAGAAGCGAACCCTCCAACATCACCCATCTGATCCATCATCGCAGCAAAACCGTCGAACGGTTCTCTATCTGTGGTATCTTCCGTCATCGCAACAAACCCATCGAACGGTCCTGAAACATTGCTGCTGCTATCTGCTGGCATGGCGGCGCAGCAGCCGCTGGTTTCGAACTTCGTCTGAGACACGTCGATATGAATGATATGGAGTGTGGTGGCAGCGCCACCGAAAATCACATGTCATGAGAAACTGCATCCTGCAGACACAAATGGCGACGGGTACGCTGGCAGTGCAAGCGGAACGCCTGACAGGATCCTTCAGGAACCAGGGCGCCACCCGGGACGATTCAGGCGCCCAGAGCCTGCAGGAACCAGGACGCCCACCCGGGACGACTCGGGCGCCCACGGCCTGGCTCTCGGCGAAGTGCAGCCCCCCCCCACTCAGAAGCCGCGGCAGCTCGGGACGATCGGGGCGACCGTGGGAGGCAATCGGCGAAGCGCAGCTGCTGGGGGCGGCCCTGCATTCCCTCGGCGAAGCGCAGCCCCCTCCACTCTGGTGCAACGGCTGCTCGAGACGATCGAGGCGCAACTGCACGGCGCCATGGCCGAAACTGATTGCGGGGGGTCCACGCCACCTCGCCTCTTAACCGATGCGCCCCTCGTCCTATGTGAAAGGGGGAACAGAAACGGCGGGGGGGCGGAGCAAGGGAATTCCAGGTCCTGAAAAAAAGGACTGATTGGGCAAAGGGGGGGGGGCGAGCGAAGGCGCGAACCAAAGGTGCCCACAGCATACTGTGGAACTCACAGGCATGTCCTGGTTGCTCACAGGGGCGGCGTGGTGTTCACGCGCGCACTGCGGTGCTCGCAGGGTGCTGCGGCGTTATCGCAGGCGTGCTGTGGTGCTCGAAGGCGAACGCGGCGCTCACAACCATTTGATGCGCTCGCGGGCGTAACGCGGACAGCTCGGGCGGCCTATCCTTCTGCGCGAACAACTATACATTTTGTTACCTAGACGTCCCTCGTGGGCCCGCCATGGCACGCGGCATGCCAACGCGTGTTGGTCGTTCTTGTGGAACCCATGCAAGCTCATCAGTATCGTCGCTGGTTCTATGCACACCGATCGTCCCATTTGTAAGATTTCGAACACTTCGTTTTGCGATCTTTCCATTTCCCAAACCTGTTATGGTCCTATCGTGGGGCTATTGTTTTCGTAATTCCTAACATGCCACTCTGTGCCAGGAGACGACTCCACAATCCTAACGGGCTGGTGGACCCTGCGGAGGGGGAGCAGGGACATGGGGACAACCAAACATCTCACACACCTTTTCACCCTTTGCAAGCGGCGGTCGACGGATTTCGAGTGGGAAGGCCTCACCTTTGGTTGTTTCGAAGTCATCCTCATGCTCAAGAATTTCGCGTGGGCCATCATGGACTTCCTCATGATCCTCTCGTGCGGCGATCACGCGGCCACGTGCTTGGGAATGATGCCCGTCAGCATGCTTTCCGAGGCACTTGAAGGGTCGGCATTATCGAGCGTCTCCGTTGCACCCGCTGGCCTTTTCAGCGTGGCCGCGGCTACCGCGCGCAGGCAAGTGGCAATGTCGATCAATGAGCGGCGAAGCAAGCTTAAGGTACGCAACGCGTGGCTCATCATCGAGCGCCAGAAGGCGGAGAATGGACAAGATGTGGAGGCCATCGCAGTGTTGACTGAAGAGATTAATCGCGTCGAGGGGCAGCTCAAAAGACTGGATGAGCACGAGAAGATGAACCGATGCCACGGGTAAGTTGGGCGCGCTGGCGGTTCGAGTGAAGGGTGATGGATGGCACGCTCTTTATTTAACAAGCCGCATAACAAATCATCTTTTGAAGGGCCAGACGTTTACTCCACGAGACTTCTACGCGGTCGCGCGGATTTCCTGGATCGGCGCTGGACCACCCTGGAGCGCGGAGCTCGTCAGGGACGGCGCCGGAGGCGCCGCCAGGGGAGCCCAGCGCCAACACAGTTTATGTTTATACAGTTTGTTTGTTCTTCGAAGGGGGATGCGTGAAAGAGAAAGAGCGCATGGAGAATGAGGAAGAGGGATAGTCACAACAGAACATGCACACACAATCCCCCAGGCCTCCTCATCCGGTTCGTCCTCCTCTTCTCCCTGCACATCCACGCCCACGCATGCTCCTCACCCTTGTCCTGCGATGTGTTACACGCTCTTTCTCGCCACTGCGCATGGCCGAAGTACCGGTTCTGCCAGGTCTAAGAGATCTGGGCTGATTCTGCCCTGTCAGATCTGTAAAGGCTCGAGGCATCGAGGACTGGCGCAGGCAGCTGCCGGAATACAATGATCATGTTAGAGGCTCACGCGTTGGAGTCAAACCAAATTCCATGGCTCGACGCAAACGCTGCTTGTGTTGGAGGGGGAAGATGACTCTCATGCGGGGCGGGACTGCAGGCAGTTATGAAGGCTGCGTGGCCACAAGTGCACCACTTCGTCAATCAGGAGGAGGAGGAGGAGGAGGAGGAGGAGGAGGAGGAGGCTGGGATCGGCCTCGGAAGGCAGTGAAAAACACGAAAACAAACTACCACTCCTCATCCTCCACATCGCTCGTCGATGGGTAGCCCGAGCCGCGGTCTGCGGCCGCCCAGATTGCCACCCTCTGGCCACGCAGCCGCGTCCCCGGGAGGAGGAGGAGGAGGAGAAGGAGGAGGAGGAGGCCCAGGATGAGGATGAGGAGGAGGAGGAGGAGGAGGAGGAGGAGGAGGAGGATGCCCAGGAGGACGAGGAGGAGGAGGAAGAGGAGGAAACCCAGGAGGAGGACGATGTGGAGGTGGGACATCCTGGTGCGCAAACGGCAAGGTCAAGCGGCAACATTCGGTATCGCACAAAATTGCGACCACGACTTCTGGCTCTGTTTCTGCACCCTGCCGGCCGATGTGACCTCCCACCTGGGCGGACCGAGCAGAACGGAGCTTCCCGTGACAGTAATTGCCCAGGCAAGCGTGCGAGTCGGAGGAAACCAGAGAAAGCCCCATGGCGAATGATACAAATCCAATGACCGCACGTCTTTACTAGCAGTGGCGCCGTTACGGCCTATCTGAAATCATCACTCGCGATCAAAACGAATGCTGCACGAGCCAATGGCTGCTCTCACACGTGTGGAGGAATAGGGCGAGGAATGCTTCAGTGACGAGGGAGGGGAACCACGCTTTGGACCTTCCGAGCCCCATGCGCTAAGGATCAAGTAAGCCAGATCGCCTCCCACCACGCCTACCACGTGCTCCTGCTGCCGTTGAATCCGCTCCTCCACGGTTGCCTCACTGCCCGGCGCGGCTCCCCCAGTGTTGGGCTTGGACATCGGGAGCGGCGAGAAACAGGAGAGGGGGCGAAGTCTGATCATCATGCCACGACCCCAGAGGTTTGCGTGACGCTCTGTTCCCAACTGAGGACTCCGAGTGGCCTCGGGCCACGCCCCAGCCTCAGGAGGGGAAAACACACACAGACACAATGAATCGTCGATTCCCCAGAAAATGTAGAAACATATGGGAACTGGGGGGAAGACAGAAGCCCAGAACATATAGGGAATCTGGTTATTCGTGTCTATTTGTTTGTGTGTCCCGGTTTCCCTTCACGGCCTGCCACCTCTGCTGGCTGGGGGGAGCAGCGGGCATCCCCAGCCTTCGCGGCCCGCTCCCGAACCAGTGTAGCTCAAATGATGTGTGGGCCTTCCGCGCGTGGTTTGCGAGCTCCACCAGCCGAGGTGTTCCTGACTGAAGGCTGAATGCCCCCACCTCAACTCTAAGTCTCATTCGCATGGTCCTTCTCACTCTCTAGTCTCTCTCTCTCTCTCACTCTCTACCTATATCTCTATCTCTCTATCTCTGTGCCTCTTTCCCCCCCTCTCTCTCTTACTCTTTCTCACTCTCTCGCCGCGCATCGGGTAAAGCACTAGTTGGCCATGCAGGACCGTTCGGACACTCTTTGCAAGGGCCCTGCGATCAAGGATCTAGCGATTGCCTCCTCCGCGACATCTCGTACAATCCAATCCTCGAGTCCAATCCTCCTCAGTATATTTCCCCTCCTCCCGCACTGCAGCCCACGGCCACTTAGCCATGGGCAGCGCTTGTCTTTGGGGGTTCGGTTTCTAGCAACCCGTAGCCATTCGGCCGCATCGTGTTCCTCTACCTTCTTTGTCCTACCCCAAGGCGTGTCATGCGAGATGTTTCTTGACACATTCGCTCGATTGCACGGTTCCTGCCCACGCCCGTCTGTCGGATCATAGAACTTTGTGCGCACCCTGTGTATGATTCACCTTTCCTTCACCTATCGCCGTCTCGACTCAAGGTACTCCAGATTTCGTAATAAAAGGGAGGGGGTCTGGACCCTCCCAGACGAGAAGTTTTAGACCCCCCCCGTGGGAGAACCCTCCAAAACATCGTCCCCAGACCCCCCCAGGCCCTCCAAGATAGCCTGGAAGAGACCCCCCCCGAAATGAGACCCCCTCCCTTTGATTACGAAATCCGGAGTATTGGCTGGCACTGGGGTGAGGTCTCTTACCCTGGAGGAAAACCACATCGTCACCGTTGTTATACTACGGACCGTTGGGCGGGTTAGTTTCCTTGACCTTTTTCCCCCCTTCCACAGTTGATCGGCCTCTTTCATTTGCTCTCCGCTTGTTCGCGGTGTTGGGGAATGGCGAATTCTCTATTGTTAAGCCTTCCCGTCTTGTGCAGCGAAAGTGTTGCAGCACGACCCTGAGGCATTCACGCAATCTGATTCCATCTCACCTGGCGGCCGTCGGCGGCGAGCGAGGGGGGGAAGTGAGAAGGAGACGGCCTTCTCAGAAGGCGGCGGGGCTTCTCAAGAGGCTTCTGGCCTTCTGAGAGGTCTTCTGCGTCTTCGAGGCAGGCTGAGAAAGCCTCTCAGAAGGCCCGGGGAAGCCTTGCAGAGCCGCGCTTCTCCGGGGGGGAGGCGCGTCTCGCGCGGCATTCGGCACTGGCGTCGGGGGGACGGCACAGGGCCCTCTGTCCGAGCATTTTCATTGGGTGGAGGGCAAAGGGTGAAACCTGAAATGCCATTTCTCCCAACACATCGCCACCCGCCAACTTCCCTCCCCCTCTCCCCCGTCCTTTCCTTTTCCGCCTCCTGCACCCCCGTTTCCGCCTCCACTCCCATCAGCGCCTCCGCCTCCGCCTGCACCTTCTCCAAGGCTGATATTTTCCCTCCTCTGCCTCCCTCTTCCCCCGTCCCCTTCCAACCCCCGCATCATCATCATCATCATCATCATCATCATCATCATCATCATCATCATCATCATCATCATCATCTATCATCACAGTCAATCATCATCATCATCATCATCATCATCACCATCACCATCACCATCACCATCACCATCACCATCACCATCACCATCACCATCATCATCATCATCATCATCATCATCATCATCAGCAGCATCATCATCATGTTTATCATCATCATGTTTATCATCATCATCATCATCATCATCATCATCATCATCATCATCATCATCATCATCCGCCCGCCCGCGCCAATCGCTAATGGCAGCGACCAGGTGACGCATCACCTTCCTGGGATCCACGTGCAATCGTCCCTTGACCACGCCCATGCCGTCGCCAGCACCTCAATTTGAGTCGACCTCTCTCAGTCCAGGCCCCCGTCCCCCGTGTCGCCAAGCTGGAGCACGATGGCCCCGCAAACGTGCGTATACTTTCTGCCGAAGCCCGCTCGGGTCCCCACTCGGGGCCACCTCCGCCGCCCTGCGATGGGCCCCCGAATCCCGACCCCCGCCGTTTTTCCCACTCGGCTCCTGCGAAAGAGCCGGAGGCGGTTTTAGAAAAGCAAAACGAATTCGAGAACGCAAAACGAAATTCTAGAACCGCAAAGCGAATTCTAGAACAGCAGAAGTAATTCTAGAACGCAAAACCAAGTTCTAGAATTTGGCATAGTATAAACCGCAAGCAAGAACAAGTTCTAGAACGGCCAAAACAGTTCTAGAGCGACGACGTGAGTTCCAGAACGCAAAAAACGAGTCGAGAATTCTGAATTGACCTTTCGGGCGACAGTCGCGTGCTGTTTCACCCGTCGGGTGCCAGTCGCGTGCTCGTGCACCTGCCGCGCGCCAGTCGCGTGCCCGTTCATGTGTATGGCGCCAGTCGCGTGCTCGGGGGCCCACAGAGCCGGCCACCCAACCAACCATCCATCCAACCATCAAGCCCAACCCTCAATCCGCCAGTCAACTAACCAGCGAGTCAACCAACCAATAGCGAACCACCCGGACAATCGGGGACGTGGCGCCGGCAACATATGAAACAAAAGTTAAGACAATGTCAAGAGAGTTCGCGCCCGCCTGCCATCCGCAGATGCGCCGAGCGTGGATTCGTCGAGGCGCGCACAGCCCATGAGTGACACCGGCGGGGCGGCAAAGCCCTGTTTGAAGGACTGCCGGGTGCGAGCCATCAGCGGTACGGTAGGTTTGCGTCGTGTCGACCAGCGGCGACCCCAGCGTGGGCGTTCAAGGTTGAACGCCGCTGGCGACCCAGAATCGATCGACGTTGAACGATCGGACGTTGCGGCAGCGGCCAATCGTTCAAGGTCGAACGATCCCTGCGGTGTCAAAAACCAACGCTGGGGTCGGCACGACACGAACCTGCCGTACCTGATCACGTGCGGGCGCAATCGTGACGTCGCATCGCAGCAGAGGCCAGGCGATGCATATGCACAGGCTGCTGCTCAAGACAAGCTTCACCCCTAAAGCCACCCAGCCACAAGACGGATAGATCTTCGATGTGCAAAACCCACATGGACTTCACCTTAAGCCCTCTACCCGAAGAGAATGCCCAGTCTGTGAAGTCGGCTGTTCCCTTCTGCTGGCCTCCCCGCATGCTTCACCCTCCCGCTTCACCGTCTCCTCCTCCTCCTCCTCCGCCTCCGCCTCCGCCTCCGCCTCCTCTTCCTCTTCCTCCTCCCTTTCCCCCTCCCCCTTCTCCTCCGCATCCTCCTCCGCCCCCTTCTGTCCCCTGCCAGGGCTCGTTTCGAATCCTCCGG